GTTTCCATTTGTCTCCTTCTCCAGTGTTTTCATTTTTGCGTTTATACTTTTATATTCTTCATGAATTTCTTCTAGTTTCTGTTCCAAGCCTTTCAATTTTGCGTTTCCTTTGATTCCCTTTTTTTTATTTTTTTCCCATTTTCTTTCTATTTATACTGATTCTCTTCCTTTATTTCTTTTAGTAATTTCCTTAATACATTAATTTTTTTATACTTCAACAGGTTATCCTATTTCTTCGTCTGCATTTAAACTATTGTTTTACATCAGTGTACCACCGTTTGTATCTATCTACCGTTTATACCATACTCTTTAAACCTTTTCTTATTTTCCACTGTCTTAATTATAGACCAACCCACTGAAGGCCAAGCAGCAAATATAATTCCCATACTTGAGTATTTGGTTTTTTGAAACTCCAAAATTTACTTAAATCCTTTATAAACCCTTCCACTAATAGACCTTTTGATTATAACACCAATTCTGTTTTAAGTACCACATCAATTACCTCTTTTCACTAGAAGCAAAAAGTACTATTAACTGAATCTTAACTCGGTGCTCCTTTGTCACATCTTGTAGGACCAAGCGACCAATCTTAAAAAAACTGGGATTGACCAGTCATTCCATGGAACACTTACATTTCAGCCTTTCTTTATATGCAATATAAAATAGTTCAACTCAAAACGGTAGCATAACAAAAAGAAAAAGGGGAAAGTTGTCAGTGAAAGCACTAAGAGGAATTGCGTATATGTATAAAAGGGTGTAGAAAATGATCTTGATAAAAGCAAGGAGACATACATTACATGAAAGTGTGCTTTTTTTATGGCGAAAAAGTAAGATCCTGACTGATTGATTGATTGGAATGAGATGATTTAAAAACTGGAAAGGAAAACTTCAATAGAAGTTGCTATAGAAAGTTGCAATAACGCATACATATGCGATTATATGTACATATATAAATAGCGTTCTTTTTTATCTCGAAGTAAATTTATGCACCTTAAGGAAAGTTTTACGATTATTTTCGCAAAAAGGTAGGTATTTACTTGTAGAGAAACTGTTCTCAATAAAAATCTATAAATAACAACTTTTATTGAACTAGATAAATACAAATGACGTATGTCACATAACTGCTATTTTCTATGTCATGCTAAACCCAACCCAAGTATAGATTCCAAAAACAAGTAGGTTCAAGTATACGGATTTCGTGCACTTGAATTTGAGTTCTATCGAGGACACATTATCATAATGGGTAAACGTAAAGAATTATTTTTACTATACGTATATTGGCGGCACTAATTTATAAACGGTATTTGCTCTTACTTTCTGTATGATTTATTTGATTCTATCTCGTACGTGCATATTGCATATAACGGGAAATTTTCTTAGGCAAACAAGTGGACTCACCGGATGAGCTTTAACCATTGTGTACAGACGTATTGGCCTGTTAACATAGTTATGCTCTTACATCTGGCTGACGATGAGTAATAGATTTTTTTAATACCCAGTGCGTTCCATATAAGTAATTAAGGAATAGATTATTGAGCAATTTCATTATGAGAAGACCGTCTGACGATGGTAATTTATTCCGCAAAAGAATCAAAAACGAATATTGTGCATTAATTTTAATAATTACTTCATTTGCAAATAAAATACAAATACACATTTAGAGAAGTTGATATCTCCTAAAAGTGAAATGAGAAATAAGTATACGAATTTTAGTAATGTATTTATTAAAACGTATTTACAAGTCAATAAATATTTATAATATAAATATTAAATTAATGTATAGGTACTTTACAATATTACACAGTCATTCCTTCTTCCAACAGAGAAATATCTAAAAGTTAATCGATCGAAAATTCGATCTACGGTTTTTTAAATTTCAACTGACTCGAGCACTTAAAATCGATAATACTGGCAGGTACATTATATCAGTATTTATTTTGGACTGTACGCCTTGTACGCCAGTTTATGGCCAGTTTCAAGGGACCTTTTATCCCATCCGCCGCCGCTACTTTGCCATCCACCGCCACCGCCCCCTGATTGCCAACCACCGTGGCCACCTCCGCCACCACCACCACCACCACCACCGGAATTCTTGCTAGCGAACAATTTTTTCAGTGCGATGATTCCGGACAGCAACAGGGCGATCTTAGCAGTGATAAGGGCTTTACCAGCCAACAGGAAAAGACCGGCGATAGCTATTGGGATCATGGCAGCCATTTTTCCGGCAATTCCAATCATCATCCCGCTCATCATGTTGCCCTTTTTTTTTCTTCCTGTAACAAAATTAGGGAAATTATAGAAACCGTTAAATAATTGCAAACATTTTTTTTAACGAGGGATTTCGAAATTTTAATTGTACAAACCTTCTTCTAATCCCGATTCATCATCGGCAATTGGCATCGTGAATTGTAGGTTTCTGGAATTCATTAAGGTGGTGAGTTTATCCATAAGCATTGTATTAAGGGCGGTTTCCTTTTCGTCGGCCGATCGGGGTAAGGATTTCTCCAGTTGATCTTCACTGATAGTGTTATCCGTTGTTCGAACTCCATCTACGCGTACGAGATCCAGACCTTGAAACAATGTGAATTTGTCCATACGTCCCAGTCTGTCCAGTACAGTGAGCGCCCTTTTCTTCATGCATAATGAAAATCCGTCCGATCTACTACACTCGTCAAGAACTTTGACGGCAAGCCGTACTTCCGGTGTTTTTAAGAAATCCATAGAGTAGACCGAAGCGGCAAATGCCACGACGAGAACGAAACTTATCCTCACTGCCATTACACTAGTTCACCGAGAGGCAGACACAAACTACGAAAGACGTTTATTGACGAGGTGTTTTATACCAGAACGGATCCATATATGACCTTTCTACCCCGACTTCTTGAGATCGCATAGTAATGGCTTCGGGCGACTTGGCAAGATTCGCAAAAGCGCCCACACCTGTTTTCGTTGACATATTTGCCGACTACCCCAGAAGACGATTGGCCGCCATTGGCCTACAAACGGAAGCTTCAACGTCATTGGTTGAGAATTCCGGTAATGTGCGCATCACCTGCTTTACACACGGACTCGCGACCTGACGAGAGGTCGCCGGTGGCTTTCTGGCTTTGCCTCAGAAGAAGAAGAAGTGGTCGACAGTCAGCACCAAGTTTGACCAATTTCTCTACGTTTTGTATGCAAAGACAGCAACGGCAACATTTGTTGACCTACTAATTCACTCTCAGATATGATGTTATGAGAATCATTTCCTTTTAGATTTTTCCACGCTATGTGTTAAAAAAATATCTAAGACAACAAAATGTCTTTACAATTAATGTTTTATGTAAGTTACAAGGCTAATAAATAATCATATTGTTATAGACCTATTACAGTACCTACATCTCTAGAATACAAGCTGGAAGAATGAAGCTCTCGTTTTCAAATAATAATAATGGGGATACTGATTCACACAAACTTGAGACTCGTTCAGTTTATTCGCGTTAAAACTAATGAAGGATCACGGAAAACTAGCAAATCATCTTTTATTCATATCGGAATTGTCCAATTGCATTTTTTAAAAAAAATACTTCTTTAGGATTTGCTTTTCCTTAATTTTGCTAATAAGCAATTGTTTCATATCAGTAATGCCATAACGTTTTAATGAATAATGTTTCGCCAATTGCAGTAATACCTTACAAGAAATTAAGCATCCAGTTTTTCACTGAAGGCTGAAAAACTGCTAAAATTATAACTAAATAATTTTCTTTATACCAACATAATACGTAATTAAAGAAAGTACGCTAATTAATTATCTACAAAAAAAAATTGTTTTAGTTATCTATAAATAAACTTATTGCCTGTTGTAACTAAAAAAAAACGTTTATTTATAAGATAAAAATACCAAAATATATCGTCAGTTGACTAGATTGAACCACATTTTGTCTTCCTCGCATATATAAATAGCGTTCTTTTTTATCTCGAAGTAAATTTATGCACCTTAAGGAAAGTTTTACGATTATTTTCGCAAAAAGGTAGGTATTTACTTGTAGAGAAACTGTTCTCAATAAAAATCTATAAATAACAACTTTTATTGAACTAGATAAATACAAANCGTCTGCCTTGGTCCAAGTTTTTCTGTGGTTTCCTTGGATCACTTAGGCAAATTCTGAGGCAGTAATATTCCACAGATAATCTTTCATTCTCTTCTGTCTTCTTTCGTCCGTCTCAATTTTCTCACCCGAACCACCACCCACCCATTCCCACGATTCCTGACAGCAGGCTGAGGGGGGCTTCCGCCCTACCTTCCGGCATAGTCCGGAGGGACTGCCCGCCCACCAACATTACTGGCTGGTGGGAATGAAACACCCAAAAGTTTTTTTTTTCCTGTCTCGCTTACTTTTTGTTGACTTCCATAGAGTCCTCTGTTCTCCTATTCTTTCTAATATCTGTTCATTGCTAACTTTATCTATCCACGGTATCCTCATCATTCGCCTGTAACACCACATTTCGAACGCTTCTAGCTTTTCTTTTCTGCAGCTCATCGTCTATGTTTCGCACCCGTACAGCGCAGCGCTCCAAACATACATCTTTAACAACCTTTTTCAAATTTCTAAATAAACCATAGAAGTGACTTCTTTTTATTAAAGGCGACTCGACCCTGCGCTATCGTCTGCTTTATATCGCTACTACTCCTTCCGTCCTGACTTATCTGACTTCCTAGGTATCTAAAATCAATCCACTTCTTCTAATTTTTCGTCTCCTATCTTTATATTCGCTTTTAACATACCTACGAATTATTCATTTATTATTTGCTAAATCAAGATAATAGGTACCATTACGACGTACATTTATTCTCATTTAAAAATCTCTTTCCTTTTGCAAAAGTCCCCATAGGTAGAGCGAATGAGCTTAAAATAACGAACAATACTTCTGTGTAAAGGGCGCCTGGATGGCTAAGACCGACCCTGACTATAGATAACTTGAAATTATTGAAGAAAAATTGTTGTTGCTTTCACCCCCTCGCTGGTAATCGAACCCGGGCCCTTGGTTTTATACACCGGTACCCTACCACTGATAGCAGGAACAATTTTGCCGCATGAATTTGAGGTACTGTTTAATTGACTAATGTATTGAATTTAACTCTACAAAAATTCAAAGTGTTAGATACCTCAATATTGGCGAGGTTGCAGAAATTTTTTGGATGATCTTTATTAGTGTAAAAAGAGTACTTATTTGCAAAAAAAATGTAGACACGTAATGTCGAACAATAATGAACACACGCATTTATAACATTAAGTTTAAAATTATAAATACAATATATAAATAATAACAATTATAATTATT